TCCAGAAGCTCCTTGGGCACCCCTCTCCCCTCCTGCAGCGCTAGTGGGACTGGGGGTGGGCCTGGCAGGGGTAGCCCTGCAACCCTGGGGAGGGGGGGAGCTGTGTGACAAGGTCCCCCCCGCCCCCAGTAGCGCGTGAGGCTGACCCGGGCCAAAGGCCATCCTGTGCTGGTAACTGAGGGCTCATGACCAAGACGGCCAGCACGGGAGCAGGGAGTCTGGGGTACAGCAAGGAGGCTGCAAGCCGGTTAACTGGTGAGTACACCTCGGAACGGTGTATTTACTGGCTGGACTTTGGGGTCAAAGACGATAATAATTGGAGCAGCAGTGGCAAGGATATCGTGTGCGTAACTCTTCACCCCAGGCAAAGTACCGACCGTCCTGCCCGGTGCCTGATGTGCTCCTGAGCCCCACCTGCCCAGACCTGCCTGAGAGCGGACCCAAGTCCCTAGGACGCTTCTCGATGTGGGTGATTTAGACAAACGACCAGGATTTCCCTGGACTAGATTAAATGCCACCAGGGCCCGTAAGGCTCACCATCTTACTTGTGTTCTGTACTTGCTTTGATACTTTATGTAGAAGACCATTTTATTTTGTTCTTTTGGCCACCGTATGAGGAAACTATACTTGGCCCCATTTTACAGAGCAGGCCTGGAGGCTCAGGGGTGTTACTAACTTGCCCAGGGTCGTGGGACAAGTAAGGCCACAAGGCAGGTTTCAAATCCAGGTTTGCTTGACTCCAAAAACCATACTCATGCTACTCTTATGCATGCTGGAGGGAGTTTTTCTGAGTCAGTGACCTGGAAAAAGGTAGGGATGTTTGCCAAATTTTATTTAGAGACCCAGAATAGAAGTATGCCACCAACTCTGGTTTCCGCCAAGTGGCAGTGTGAGGTGGTACGGTGCTGAGGATGTGTGTTCTGTTTATACACACAGGGAATCAAACATTTTTTTTTTCTTTAACATGTGTTTCGTTTTCCATAGAATTCTGACAGCCACTCTCGTTCCAATGCTTAGAACACCATATGCTCTTTAGAAGGGAGTAAAAGGTTTCAGCAACGCAAAACAAAGCAAAGTTTTTGGCTGCCCCGCCTCTTTGCAGTTCAAATAATCATTCAAAACAGCTGCTTCTATTTTGTTTGCCTTTGGAGAAAATCAAAGGTAAATATAAGATAAATAAGAAGCAAAATACTGGGGTGCCTGGGTGGCTCAGTCGGTTAAGCCTCTGCCTTCGGCTCAGGTCATGATCTCAGGGTCCTGGGATCAAGTCCTGCATCGGGCTCCCCGCTCTGCGGGGAGCCTGCTTCTCCCCTGCCTGCCATTCCCCCTGCTCGTGCTTGCTCTCTCCCTCCACCCCCGCCCTGTGTCAAATAAATAAATAAAATCTAAAAAAAAAAAAAAAAAAAAGAAGCAAAATACTTTCTGCTGAACCAAAAAGCCCAGTACCTGGCCATCTGAAAAGATTTTGTTTGTCTAAACATTGCTGGAATGTTAGAAATCCTGTACAAACACCCGTGATGAAGATTCAGCTAATAAAAATCCAAAAAGTTCAGAGGTGAACTCTTAACCACTATAGTGGTGGTTCTTTCCCATGGATTCTGAACAGTTTTTGAAAACCAAGCCCTTGGTTGGGGACGCAGTTTACAAGATCCTAACAAAGTTTCCACAGATTAACAAAGTTTAGAGTTTATTCTGGATCTCTGCCTGGAGGGAAGGAAAAACAGCCAAAAGAGAGGAAAAAAAAATCTTTGTGGACAAATGAAGCTCTGGTGGGTGTTCAGTTGCCCAGGTGGGCAGCCACCCCTTAAGTCAAGTGTGCTGTGATTGGAACCCGAGCCCTTTTTTGGAAAGGCAGCAGGGTTGAACGAGAGAATCCCACCATGTGAGTCTTGGTATATATTCTCTCGTTTGCTTACTTTTTTTTTTTTTTTTTGAAGATTTTATTTATTTATTTGACAGAGAGACAGCGAGAGAGGGAACACAAGCAGGGGGAGTGGGAGAGGGAGAAGCAGGCTTCCTGCCAAGCAGGGAGCCCGATGTGGGGCTCGATCAGCACTCTGGACTTTGGGGTCAAAGAGAATAATAATTGGAGCAGCAGTGGCAAGGATATCGTGTGCGTAACTCTTCACCCCAGGCAAAGTACCGACCGTCCTGCCCGGTGCCTGATGTGCTCCTGAGCCCCACCTGCCCAGACCTGCCTGAGAGTGGACCCAAGTCCCTAGGACCCTGAGATCATGACCTGAGCTGAAGGCAGATGCTTAAGGACTGAGCCACCCAGGCGCCCCCCCCCCTTTCTTTAATGGCTCTTTTTTGGTGTGTGGTAAAATTTACATGTAACGAAATGCCCATCTACGTATACATCTGGTGAGTTCCAACACCTGTGTACCTCAGACCCTTTCAGGACAACTGCTGTTCCGACGTGGTTGGGGTGTGTGTGTGTGTGTGTGTGTGTGTGTGTGTGTGTGTGTGATCTATTTTCCTGTGGATGGTTACTTGGCTATTTACAGTTTTTGTCCCGATAAAGTTGGACGCGTCTTTTTGTGGATACATATTTTCTCTTGAGTAAATGCCTATGTATGCAATTGCTGAGTTGCGGGGAAGGTAAATGTTTAGCTTTAGAAGAACGTGCCAGGTTTCTCTCTGGGATGGTTGTCCCACTTTATACTTCCACTGTCAACATGACAGCATGTCCTCGTTGCCATTAGATTTAGCAAAGGCGTCTCGTGGGTTTTAATTTGCATTCTCTTATGACTAACGACACGGAGCCCGTCATGTGCTTCCTGGCCATTTGTGTATCTTCCTTGGTGAAGTGACTGTTCAGATTTTTTACTCATTTTATTGTTGAGTTGTGGGTATTCTTTATATATCTGCATATGGTATACAAGTATGTGTAAGAGACCCTCTCCACAGGGCGTGGGACCCCAGTTACTTGATCTTTTTGCCTGTATTTCCCCCCAAAGTGATGCTGAGGATCCTTCTTTGTTTAGCACTAGATTCCCAGTGCCTAGGATGGCCCTGGCAGGTAGTAGGGGCTCATTTACGTGAACATTTGCTGAGAGAACCCATGAATGAACAGTTGCCCTGACTTTGGGGCCTGATATCCAGATATAATTTCCTTGACTAAAAAGCAGTGATTAACAAGGAAACAGAAAAAGGCAATGTGACTGTTGTCCTTGAGCTATAAATGACACTTTGCACAAAGGACTCGGGATCCCTTCAGGGGATTTGTTCAGCCAGGGGAAATACGGCTAGAATATCTCCTGAGCTCATCTAATTTGACCTCATTATGAAGCTTCTAGTGCTTCTTGGGTTCTGACGGAAGGATGATCAGCGCATTTGCCTGAACGATGATCAGTGCATCTAGCCTCAGAAGATTTATGTAACTTCACCCAGCTGATCCCACCTGTGCCCTCAGCACCTTCCTTTTGGCTCCGTCGGACCCTGGCAATGCCTGTCTCCTGCCTGGGCTGTGCCTCTGCTGGGCTCTGGGCCCCCTGGTGGGTGCCGCCTTCCTGCGCCCGCAACGGCCAGCAAGGGGCTCCTTCACCTTGCTCTCGAAGCCATTTTCCCAGCCTCTCGTGTTGTGGGTGTACACACTCACTAGTCATCGTCAGCATCTGTTTGGGAAGAGAACTGGGCTGTTTACAGAGTATGTTCCCACACATTATCTCCTATTAGCCCCCAAACAGTCCTAGCTGTATTCCCCTTTTTGGTGTTTTTGTTTGTTTGTTTGTTTTTCCCCAAAGGAGGTGCCGTAAAGAAGTGATTTAATTTGCTCCAGAATATAAAATGGTCCACATGTGGCTTTTCTCTGAGAAAAGAGTTTTCTCTGGGTCTTGCTCTCAAAGAATATCAGTGCTTTTTTTTTTTTTTTTTTAAAAAAGCTCTGGTGGATTTACATGTGTGTTGTTTAAAAGGCTCCATAGATTTTTACAGTTCAGAGACTTGGATTCCATCTGTCAACAGAAATTCAGTTACTACCCCAAAGACATATAGGAGTTGTTCCCAACATTTTTATTTAACCACCATGATGGGTTCTGCACACCCCCCCCCCCCCCCTGCCCTTGGATCACATACTATTTTAGAAATGTCCACCAGCAACTGTACTTATTGGCTTGTGTTACCATTTTTATTCATCAGATTCATAGCGTCCAGAGTTTAGGATCGGGATCAGATAATCTCTGCCCTTACTGGCTGATTTTATTGCAGCCAAAATAAAGATATTTGAGATTTGCATTAGCCTCCAAGACTAATAACTGGCCCATTTCTATTTCTGCAGGGCTTTCTGAAAGATTAAAAGTTCACACACTGACCCTTGGGAAAGTGGAAACAGAGTGTAGAGCTTGAGAAAAAGTAGCCTCATGTGCCATACCTCGCTCAGGGACTGTGCTTGGAAAACATGTCTGTGTGGGACCAAGATGGTGCCCCTGACTCAACGCTTTGCCCTGTGATCAGTGCCTCTCCCTGGCTCTGTAACAGAGTGGGGCTCAGCCAGCCCCTCCCCAGGGGCTGGCTGAGCTGGGTCGTTTCCCGTCGACTTCCATAGGATCTGGTAGAGAACATGCACTTCTGGAGACAAAGACATTCCCTTAACCATTACCTAGAGGTGCACGTTTTTAAATGTCACAGAACCCAGACTTTTACATCGTGTCAATAATTGTCTCATTCAGATTATACTTTCAGAGGGTCATGATGGGTATTCTAAAGGCAGTGTCTTTTTCTGATTTAGTAGAATTAATAAATGTCACTCTGTGTGCCAGTCATAAAAGAGGGGTTTCGGTTAGGGATGACTATTACTGCCCTCTTATTTTATTATTTCTGTATACATATGTGTATATATACTTATTGTATTCATATCGTATTATATATGTATATATAGTATACACATTGTATTATATGTACAGTTATTGTATTAGTACATGTATGCATATTGTGTTATCCTAGGTATACCTATCGTATTATTTCATTCACACAGTATTGGGCTTGGTCTTGTTTTGTAGGAGAGCCAGCAGAAATCCACCAATGTCATCTATCAGGCCCACCACGTGACCAGGAACAAGAGAGGGCAGGTCGTTGGCACGAGGGGTGGATTCCGAGGCTGTACGGTGTGGCTGACTGGTATGCCGTGTTGATCCTTTTTTTGTTTTATTTGAAAATTGATGTGTGACCTACGATGTTAAGGAGCTTAGCGTAACACATGATGTGTTTGTTTTAACATTGGGATGAGGCAGTGGTAAAAAGCCTGGCCATCGCCCCTACTGCTGCCATGAGTGGGAAGCAGGCCTAGGATGGAGGCATGGGGCTTCCCTTGTTCTTGCGTCTCTCCTCTTTGGCAGGAAAGGGGCAAGTTGATGATGGCCTCCCCCCCCCCCCCACTTCAGCTTGAGGGGATCCCGTCATCTCATGCCTGTGCCTAAACGCATTTATTGGCAGTCATGATGGACCCTTCCTAACTCGACAGCGGGTGTTTGGCTGTCTACAAGGTTTTGGGTGTTTAGGGATATTCTTTATTGTTTTCTGACGTTTTAACATTGTAGAGGACTGTTTCACTTAATATAAAAAAAAAAACAGAAAACTGAAAACAGAAGGATCTGCACAGGAAGGAAAATCAGTGATTTCCACTTAGCTGAGGATTACCCCTTGTAAATAGAAATAATTCACTCCCACGGAGGTGACCAAGTGCATCTCTCCCTTTTCCTGTGTTTTTATAGCCTCAGAATGTCACAGCTAAGACTTAGTGACGGGACAGAAATTAGTCCGGGGCTGTTCCCTTGGGCTCTGAGCACAAGGTAGAGGAAGTTGATCCCTGGGAATAGAAGTCCGGCGTAGCCCAGACTCAAAAGGAAATACCATAGACATGGTATTTCAAACTGATGCAAAGATGTTTACCCAGGTTCTGAGACCAGCTGAGTGCTACTGCGTGCTCATAAATTCCGATTTACTGGGGCGCCCGGGTGGCTCAGTGGGTTAAGTGACTGACTCTTGATTTCGGCTCAGGTCATGATCTCGTGGTCGTGAGATCGGGCTCCACGCTCAGTGCGGAGTCTGCTTGTCTCTCTCCTTCTGTCCCTAATTGCTCTCTTTCTCTCTCTCTCTCAGATAAATAAATATCTTTAAAAAAAAAACAAAACCCAAAACCCAAATGCTGATTAATCCAACCTGAAGGGAATGCTGCAGAGTGTGGCAGGCAGGCACCTGCCTTACCCCTTCCCTTGCTCTTCAGTCATTCCTGTTCCCTGTCTCCATCAGCCTCCTCCTCCTCCTTCAAAATTTTTCCTGGTGCCTGAGGCACTTGCCTTTGGTCTCCTGGTTTCATTCATCCGTGGTGTAACACCTTTCTGCAGCTGGTGGGCTGGGGACAGACGGCGGGCGAGGAGCTTGCTATATTCCAAAAGGCAACGTTCACTTGTCATGAATCCTGCCGGGATGTCCCCCCCGACTCCATCTAAGAGACATGCCGTGTGGGAGTAGATAAAACAGCTGACTTCCAGAAGCTTCCCTCTTGTTACGTGTTTGCACTCATGGGTTTGTCCAATATCTATTGGGACAAACACAGAGTCCACTTTCTATAATGTGGGACAGCCTTAAAAACAAAAGGTAACTGGTAGAAGAGGAGAAAGACCCTAAGGGATGGACTTCCCCTGTCTTTTCTTACTCATAAAAAAAAAAAAAAAAATCTTTTCCCAATTTATTCTGTAATCTTATGTTACAGAGATAGGCTATTGTGCAGGCCGACCAAGACAGACAAATGCTTCACATCCAGAGACTTGGTTGTGAGCCCCCAGCTGCACTTATATTAACTGTGTGATTTTGGACAAGCCAACTAAGCTGGCTAAGCCTCAGTTTTCTTATTTGTGAAATGACATAAGGATAGAACCTGCCCCTGGGAATGGGGGTAGGACTAAATAAAATAAAGCATGTGTAGACAGCATAGTGCCTGGCCCATAGGAAATAAAGCTCTTGGGACGTGTAATTCGTGCGACCTCAGTGCATTAAAATAAATATGCCAACAATCTAATTTAATCCAGTTACTGTGTTGTAGCTCTTCGTTTTGAGACCTGAGGCCAAACTGAAAGAAATTTCTATTATTTCCCTCGTTTTCCAATGTGAGAGAACATGCCAGAGATTCAGGAGTTCTGATTCTTCTGCCTTACACTGGACACAATTCTAAGAGGAATTTATCACCTAGGTCCCTGTTCGAATGAAACTGAGCCACACAAATAATGTAATAGTGTCTTCAACAATGATTTACAAAGATGGCGGCCCTTCCCTCGTGGAGCCCTTGCTTCTCGTGATTCTCTGTGAGGGCCACGGGTGTGACTTGAAAACGTAACGAACACTCTGGAAACTGTTTGCCTTTTGTACATCACCTTTCTTTCCAAGTCGTTTTTTTAAAGCTTGTTTTTTAGTCACCTCTGCACTCAACGTGGGCCTCGAGCTCATGACCCCCGGATCAAGAGTCGCGTGCGCCACTGACTGAGCTGGTCCGGAGCCCCTCTGTCCTTCGTCCCTGCTTGTCTCTCACCTTTTTTTGTCTTTTCCCTCCTTCCTCCTGCCATCTTGTACATGTTAAGCTCTTGACCTTCTTTTCTTCACCCCAACTTTTCCTCTCCCACGCCTGGGTACTCCCCGACAGAGGCTTGGCACAGTGCGCTGTTTTTCAGGTCCAGAGGTCTTTAGGACAACTAGATTTTTGGAGCGCTCCCTTTCTCCTCATGATTTCCCTGATAGAAATCATACAGTGTGTCCCCCGCCAATGCGCTTTGAAACCCTGGTAAAAGGCACATGGTAACTCTGTTCTCATGGAAAGGCTCCAGACCCCGAAGCGTGTAGGGCAGCTCAAAAACGCATCTATAGGCTAGCTCGGGATGACTGTCTTCATGTTTTGAGAATCATTTTGGAAAAATCTTGAAGCCAAAGGGATCTGTTGTCAAGTGGTTTGTTTAGCAGCCTCTGTAGGAGAGGTGGGCCTCCCAGTCTCCAGGACTGGCTGCCCTGTCTCACTCCAGCTGATCGCTGGCAGAAGGGGGCATGAGAACACGGTCGCCAGATCTTCTGATTTTTTTTCCAAGAGAAGCCAGAATCTGGATTTGTATGCACAATGTTCTCATCTTTAAAACACGCTGCAGGCAAAATAGAACCCACCAAGAACCTTGTACAACCCCCCCAGACCCCCCTACTTATGAACCCCACTTGCTTTGAAATGCTGTAATTCTAATAGGGGACAGATGGTTATTTCGACGTTGGGAAGAAATGCAAATACTTTGACCTGCAGTAAACTATGCTTTTCCTAGATTGTAGTGGTTTTGATTTGAGGTCAAATGATTATAATGAACAGGTCTCTCTGGTGCTGGAAAAACCACAATCAGTTTTGCTTTGGAAGAGTACCTGGTCTCTCACGCCATCCCGTGCTACTCCCTCGATGGGGACAATGTACGACACGGCCTTAACAAAAACCTCGGATTCTCCCCCGGGGACAGAGAAGAAAATATCCGCCGGATTGCCGAGGTGGCCAAGCTGTTTGCCGATGCTGGTTTGGTCTGCATTACCAGCTTCATTTCTCCTTTTGCCAAGGTAAAAGGATGGGGCGGCACACACAGGGCTGGAAAAGGAGTTGGTGAGGGCTGGGCCCCCAGGGCTGTTGTAGGTTCAATTTCCCCCGCCTTTTCTGCTCTTGCTCCCTCATTTCCTCTACTTAATATTGGTCCTGTCTAGAGAGCTCCTTCGTTTCCAGATGCCCGGGCACCAGCTGACATAGACCCTTCCACACTCACCTTCTGGCCAGAGTTGAAAGGAAGAAAAAGTTAAACACGAAAAAGTCGAAAGCCCCGTAATCTCACATCTCCAGAGTTGGAAAGCTTAGTTTGCTAAGGGAAACAGCAGTTCACTGCCAAAGCCTCAGGTCGTGTGTGCTTAATGTTGAAATCGCTGAGGAAGAGGGACACTCTTCTTGTTCTAAACCAGGAAATTTCTGGGAGCTACGAATAGGATGCCATGCGCTTTGAACACTCCCTATGAATGAAATGCTCCCATGTGGCCAGCCCTGTCCTTCAGCAGAGATTTCTTCTCTGTGGTTTTCTCTGAAAGCCCTTGAAAGAGCCGTG